AGTGGTTCGCAATGTCAAGCTCCGACGGACTCTCATCGATGGTGGCAGCGCACTCAACATCCTTTTCGCTAAGACCCTGGACGATATGCAGATTCCTCGCACGGAATTAAAGCCGAGTAATGCACCCTTCCATGGTGTTATCCCAGGATTGTCAGCTACACCACTCGGCCAGATCACTCTTCCAGTCACCTTCGGCACTCGGGAGAATTTTCGCACAGGAAATGTTTGTTTCGAAGTCGCTGATTTCGAGACAGCATATCATGCTATACTCGGACGACCGGCTCTAGCCAAGTTCATGGCCATCCCACACTACACCTACATGATGATGAAGATGCCTGGTCATCGAAAATTTCAGAAGCATCAAGTGCACTCGGGCCGTTGTTATTGAAGAACATCGCTTGAACAATTGGGGCAGCAGCGTTAGCGACCTCATCCCGGGCTCCTTCAAGTTTTTTGATCTTGCCGACTAGGACGTCGAATTGAGCTTGAGATTTGATCTTGCGGTCTGCACCAACAGATTCACATTAATAAGTCAGCATATGGAGGATAATGGCTTTTGAGGTATTGATTGTTGATACCTTCAACTTCCTTTAAAGCCAGGTCTCTTTGTCTTGCCAGCTCTGCCTTGTCATTTTCCAGAATTTGAATCTGCTTCTCCAACTGAGATATCTTGGCAGCTTGCACTACATTGATTACGGAAGATTGCAAAGATAACAGTATGAGTCAGTTAAGCAGGGTTTGTGCGTACCTTTTGATGTGCCACTCAGTTCAAAATTTGATTCCTGGAGCTCAGCGATCCGATCCCTCAGGTCATGTTCATTCTTCCTGGCAAGCTCTTTCGCTTCGTGCAGTTGATTCCTGGTGGCTTCGAGGGTTCCGAGATGAGGGACTAACTTCTCTAAGGTTGCCGTTTTGGCTTCCTTCCTGAGATGAATCCTCTGCAAGACAGTTTAATTAGCGCATGAATTAAATGGCAAACAAGATGGTTGAGATCAGGTACCAGAGAACTTACATTTACAATGCGAGTCGCTTGGTTGAGTGCCTTTTTCAGTTGGCAGACCTCTTCGTCTTCTTTTTGCCGGTTTATTACAATTCCTTGAGGCTGCAAGTTATCATCCCACCACTTGACCAGAATGGGAGGGCACGAATCTTCGGCTGCTTGTATACGGGGGATTTCTTCTTCATCACTAATCATTGGTCCTAATGTATTCGCTAACAAAGGTTAGACAATTGATCAGAGTTTATTTGGGTCAACATGGTTTCAAACAAAAGTGTTTACCCGTAATGATTTCTGGACGAGGACGAGTGGATTCGGATGCCTTTAAAGGAGATCCAGATCTCTGGTTATTGCTGGCGTTTTGTCCATGAGGGCTATCTGCTTGGGTTTCGACTTCTGGAGTCTCTTGGCTTGACCTTGCGTCCGACTGGTTTCCAGTCGGGGGCTCCTGATTAACTCCGGCTTCAGCTTCGACCGACTGGGTTCCAGTTGGAGGTTGATCACTGGATTCTACATTATCGGTTGCCGGCTGATTGTCACTCGGGTGATCCCCAACAGTTGGCCCGGTTTCTTTGGAAGAACTCGTGTCCATGTTAGTCGGGTCAGAGTCTTTCCCAGATGGGTCTATATCAGATAGTTTCCTGCAAATTTGATTATCAGTATTATTGCCGCAATGGGTGCGCATCAATATAAGAGAGATCGTTATATGAGTTGCACCTAGAAGACTTCCTGATCTTTGGCACAGGGCGACTGGATGTTTTCTTCCTTGGAGTAGCCTGTTTTGGTAGTTTCTTGGTCGTCTCTCGGTCTTCAGGCCTCCTGGTAGTATCATCGGCTTCATCGTCACTTAGAACCAGCTTCCTCTTGCGAGTATCTGACTGGCTGACTGGATCGGGAGCACTTGGTCGAGCGTCAGATCGAATTTTTGGTCCTCCACTCGCTTGACCAGTCTGCTGGCGAGGTGATCGGCGTTGAGCAATTGGAGGATCCGATTTCATCAAAGCGAATTCCTGGGCATGATATTTCGAACTTTCAATTAGCTTAACAGAGAGTAAAAGCATACTTTTGAGGAAGGTTGAAATGTTTGAGTGCTTACCGGTGGAGGAGGGTTGAACGCATTGAACGGTACGACTAGCAGCAAGTGTGAGTAGCTGACACCGATGGCGTTTGAGAAGATCTTATACATCCTTTCCTTCATGACCTTGAAGTCAAGAGAATCTAGATCTTCACGGTTTGGGTCATGCTTGCCGTCGAATTCGAAGGCTGTGCGGGATCTTTCTTTGATTGGAGCTAACCGACACTTGATAAAGTGCCTGGTGATCTGTTCTCCTTGCAAACCTTGTTCCTTCAGTTTTAGCATGCGTTCCATCAATTCCACTGCCTGAGCGGCTTCATCTCCCATAGGCAATGAGTTCCATGTGTCCTGGTAAACTGGAGGAAGACAGCAGTACTCGGGGAGTGCGGGCTCAGGATTCTGAACATAGAACCAGTTTGCATGCCAGCCTTTGTTTGAGGTTTTGAAGGGCATGGAGAAATATTTTTGGCTCAAGGTTCCTCTGAGTTGGAAACCAGCTCCCCCAACAATGCACGGTTTGCTTTTGTTTGGCTGGGGCTTGAGGAAGAAGATGCGGCGGAACAAGGCGAAATGAGGCCTAATGCCTAGAAAAGCTTCGCAGGCGTGAATAAAATTGGCAATATGTACTATAGAGTTTGGATTCAAGTGATGCAAGCTAATCCCGTAGAAGTTCAGAATGCCCCGGAAAAATCTCGAGGTTGGAAGAGAAAATCCGCCATAGAAGAAGTGAGCAAATACCACGATTTCATGCGTATCGGGAGTCGGGAATGCTTCGCCGAATGCCGGTCGCCACCCGATAATCTCCTTCGCTGGAAGAACGCCGTGCGCCACCATCTCCTTCAAATTGTCTTCCGTCACATCGGAGGGCGCCCACTGACTCTCGAAGCTTTCTCTTTCTCCCGCCATAAATGTGAACTGGATGATTTGATTTAGTTTGAGATATGGCTGGAGAGGAATGGGGAATCGGAGCGGTGGACGCGGGGAGAAATTTCGTGAAGTTTTTGAGGGTGGATTGGAGCGGATTGATGAACCCTAGCTCCGTCGGTGCAGTCTTGTACTGTAGCGAGGAATGGGGAAATGGCGAGAGTCTCGGCGGGGAAGACGAAGCGTCGCTTAGACTTCGGTGTTTTGTTAGGGTATCGGGAGTGCTAATGGGCCTGGGCCTGTACAGTACTTCAGCCCAATTTTATTTCCAGCATGGCCTGTTGTGATCCTTAGGGACTTAGGCACTTTTTGCTTTGGCAATTTGTGCTCACAATGTTGTGGCCCAATGCTGATTAAATCCTTTTTAATGCGGTTTGCTAATTCTTTAGAATTAACACGATGCAAACAAAAGGTGCCTGACAGAAAGGTGTTATACCGTTTTTGTAAGCTTTATTAGGCTGCAAAAGCTGTTTGGGTTGATTTGAGATGACTGGTTTATTCATAGTCATTCTTTTAGCATGTTATATGCTTCTTTTAGTTATGGTAAGGGTCACAGCCTAGGCTATTAGACTCATTAATTACCATGATTTTTTTATCATGTTTGGTGAATCATTTTAAGAGTTTCTTACTCGGATTCCTATCAAATATGTCTATTCTTGGACCTTTTGAGTGTTCATCACTCGGCCCTTATTGTATTTTTTGTCCTTGATGTATTCAAGTTGAGAAGCAGTCGGCTGGGTATTTTACTAAGTACCATGCGTGCTTCGCTATAAAACCACTCGGTTCTTGACTATATGTTTAGTTTTTCAACTAATCACATAGTCGGGGGCTACACCTAATTAGGTGCATCTACTCGATGCACCATGTTTTATTTTCGCCCTTCACAGTCTTTTAGCACTCGGCAAGCCGGAGCAAGTTGAATTGAAGCACTCGGATTATTGTTTTTTGTTTTGAGAAGACTATTTTGGTCAACTGCGAAGGTCTCGGGGGCTACTATGGAGATTATGGTTACCCCATATCTACATGGCGGTTATATTCCAGCCGGATATACGGTACCAAATATAGATAGAATATCTTTATGAGGACTCGGGTTAGATTCTAAACTTGTATGTCAAGAAACTACACGGGATCCTAGTCGGTTACGATTGTATTTTATCTGTAATCCCATATTCCGTTAGGATATGGATTGTACTTTGTATTATGGATCCCTTCCCCTATATAAGGAGGGGTCCGGGTTCCTCTCGGGACGATTCTTTTTTCCCAATCATACAATCAATAACATACTCGGCGGAATCATCCCCGGACAGGAGTAGGGTATTACTTCTTGAATAAGAAGGCCTGAACCTGTATAAAATTCCTTGTCTCCAAACCCATCCACTTTCCTAGCTTGATAGCCACCCCCTTTTATTATTGCCGAAATCTTGTTTCGATAGAAAACTTAAAAAAAACTCTTTCAAACATGAAGCAGACACAAACTCATAAACGCCAATACAAGATAAATAGTACACAAATAAATTAGGAAGAAATGAACGACACAAATTTGGGGACAAATACAACGCGTAAATTTCCCACAAAATACATACAAATGAAACATGTACTATAATTTAGACCAACAAATTAGCTTAGTACTGCAGTTCAATAAATCATCTAACTTGTCATCGACGTGATTAGCTGATGAACCACGTTGAATACATAGGGACCGTGACGGCGTCCTCGGAGGTCTCTGCGGCGGCGGATGCGGTGCCTGAGATCGATCGAGTTAGCGACCAAAACAAACGAAATTAAAATATGTATGTGTGGCCGGCAATTGGGGAAGAAAGGTTCAAGTGGTCGTCAACGGCAAAGAGGATACACAGGACATGCAGGGACAACACTCACACATGCACCTACGTCGCATGGGCCACTATCCAAAGGTTAGTGATGGCACGAGCAAAAGCAAAACGCTAAAATTGGCGCGCCTTAACATAGCAGTTGGCGCCAGTTATATTCTCCTACTCCTCCAGCCTCCCAGATCATCCCACCAGTGGCGAAGAGAGAATAAGGAGAGAAACATCTAGAGTGAATAAGAAAGATGGGGTTCGTCCGTGCCCTGTTCCTGCTGGCGATGGTGTGCGTGGCGGCGCACGCGAAGGACTACCCCAAGGAGGAGGGCGCGAAGGCGGAGGGGCCGGCCGCCGCCTCGGGGGGCGGCGGCGGTAGCACCCACGACGTGGTGAAGCTGGGCGGCAAGGGCGACGGCAAGACGGACAGCACCAAGGCGGTCAACGAGGCGTGGACGGCGGCGTGCGCTGGCACCGGCAAGCAGACGATCGTCGTCCCCAAGGGCGACTTCTTGACGGGTCCCCTCAACTTCACCGGGCCATGCAAGGGCGACATCGTCATCCAGCTCGACGGAAACCTGCTCGGCTCCACCGACCTCGCCTTATTCAAGTCGAACTGGATCGAGATCATGCGCCTCGAAAGCCTCGAAATCAGCGGCAAGGGCAAGCTCGACGGCCAGGGCGCCGCCGTCTGGAGCAAGAACTCCTGCGCCAAGAAATACGACTGCAAGATCCTCCCCAACGTATGCATGCATGCTTTCCTGTGATCGATCCATCGAGACATACACATTAATTATTTATTTGATCGACCATTTGGTATGATCCATGGATATAAATATATGTGCAGACTTTGGTGCTGGACTTCGTGAACAACGGTCTCATCAGCGGCATCTCTCTGGTGAACCCCAAGTTCTTCCACATGAACGTGTTCAAGAGTAAGAACATCACCATCAAGGACGTGACCATCACCGCGCCGGGGGACAGCCCGAACACGGATGGCATCCACATGGGCGACTCCTCCAAGATCAGCATCATTGACACGGTCATCGGCACCGGCGATGATTGCATCTCCATCGGCCCCGGCACCGAGGGCGTCAACATCTCCGGCGTCACCTGCGGTCCTGGCCACGGCATCAGCGTCGGTAGCCTGGGCAGGTACAAGGACGAGAAGGATGTGACGGATGTTACCGTCAAGAACTGCGTGCTCAAGAAGTCCACCAATGGCGTCCGGATCAAGTCCTATGAGGACGCCGCCTCGGTGCTCACCGCCTCCAAGTTTACCTACGAGAACATCAAGATGGAGGACGTTGCTAACCCCATCATCATCGACATGAAGTACTGCCCCAACAAGATCTGCACTGCCAACGGCAACTCCAAGGTCACCATCAAGGACATCACCTTCAAGAACATCACCGGCACCTCCTCCACGCCCGAGGCCGTTAGCCTCCTCTGCTCCGACAAGCTGCCGTGCACCGGCGTCACCTTGAATGACATCAAGGTCGAGTACTCTGGCACAAACAACAAGACCATGGCCGTCTGCAAGAATGCCAAGGGCACTGCCACCGGCTGCCTCAAGGAGCTTTCGTGCTTCTAAACGATCAACCCACGCTACATCCTGCCACCACCACCATTATTTTTTCATTTCTATTTCTATTTTCCAGGTCACTTATAGTTTTTCTCTGGCGATGCTCTGATTGGATTGTTCTGATGCAGTCGGACTATCCGACTGCTCTATAGTCAGATTGTCTGCAGTGGTACCGGACTATCCAGTTAGTTCTAAGCTGTTTGTAAGTTTAAGAAATTTTTGGAAATACCTATTCATCCCTCTAGGTGACATATACAATCCTCAAGACTCTTTCAATCACATTATCTCAAACTAGATGGAGCATACATGACATAATAGCAACTATTAGCAATGTATACCAGTGGTTCCGATGGTGGATTCACTACTGGAGAAGAGGTATTTGGAGGGTCGGCCAATTTCCACAATAGTCCCGGTTCCAAAACGAACCGGGACTAAAGTGGCTTATTAGTCCCGGTTTATTACTTCAACGGGACGAAGGGATTTTTAGTCCCGGTTGGTAACACCAACCAGGACTAAAGATCATCTTTAGTCCCGGTTCACCTCCTGACAGGGCATGTCAGACCTCTGTCGGGGGGCTTGGGATCTTTAGTCTCGGTTCGTGTTACCAACCGGGACTAAAGTGATTTGAGATCTTTATGCCCGATTGGTGTTACCAACCGGGACTAAAGTTGCACAGCTTTATATACCCCTTCTTCCTCCTCCAGCCCGAGCCATTGCTTCAAAATTAAGCTTTGAGGGAGGGAGGTGCTGTCAAAATTTTAAGTAAATTTTTTTGGTGGTAATATACAAATTTGAGGTCTTCAAAAGGTTAGCAACTTCATCCTACTCTTTGTTTTGCTTAGCATCTACATTTGGAGCTATTTTTTTTTACATATTTTTCCCTCTAGAAAATGTGATGGAAGATGATGAGAGAGAAAGTGTTTGTAGGGAATAAAGAAGATTATAAATACTTGTTTGAATAATTACATATAATTTTGTATGAAATTATAAAACTAAGCTAATTTAATATTAAAATAAGAAAAACATATTAAATATTTGTTTATAATGTAATTAAAACATGAAAAATATGTACAATGAATTTAATAATAATGATTAATTGTATGAATAATTATATTCAATTATTGTGTTATTATGTAATTACCTTGTAAATCTTGGATTTTGTATAATTACGATTTATATGTATTTCATATAGATGGATCGGCAATGGATGTACGCGGATTGGTGGTCGAAAGAGTTTATTGACGGCGTGCATTATTTTTTGGGTGGGGCTAATGATAACAAGCGTAACGGTTTTATAAGCTGTCCATGTGACAAGTGCAAAAACCAGAAGGAGTATTCCACCACACGAACTATTCATGCCCACCTGTTTCAGTGGGGGTTCATGCGTAGCTACAATTGTTGGACCTCGCACGGAGAGGTTGGGGTTGCAATGGAAGAAGATGAAGTAGAAGATGAGAACATTCCAGACTGGGCTCAGTATGGCGGATTTGAAGAAAACACAATGGGCGAGGCGGAGCTGGATGTTGAAGGGAATGCCGGTGCTGATGAACTTGGTCAAATATTGCGGGACTTACAGGAGGACTGCGAAAGTGAAAAGGAGGTGCAGAAACTGGAGCGCATGTTAGCGGACCACAGAACAACGTTGTACCCAGGTTGCGAGAAGGGCTACAAAAAGTTGAGTACCATCCTAGAATTCTTGCAATGGAAGGCTAAAAATGGTGTGAGTGACAAGGCATTCGGCGAGTTATTGAAACTCGTAAAGAACATTCTTCCGGAGGGGAACGAATTGCCCGAAAGTACGTACGAAGCTAAGAAGATAGTCTGCCCTCTAGGTCTGGAAGTACAGAAGATTCACGCGCGTCCGAACGACTATATCCTGTATCGCAGTGAGTACGAAAACCTAGAAGCATGCCCTATTTGCAAAGCACTACGATACAAGATAAGACGAGATGATCTAGGTGAAGTTGACGGACAGCCTTTGAAGAAGAGAATTCCTGCTAAAGTGATGTGGTATTTCCCTATAATACCAAGGCTGAAGCGGTTTTTCAGGAACAAATCACATGCTAGAATGATGCGGTGGCACGCAGAAGAACGTAAATAGGATGGGATGCTGAGACACCCCGCTGACGGGTCGCAGTGGCGAAATATCAACAGAACATTTAAAGACTTCGGCGAAGATGCACGAAACGTGAGGTTCGGTTTAAGCACGGATGGAATGAATCCATTTGGAGAGATGAGCAGTGGCCATAGCACCTGGCCAGTCACCATGTGCATCTACAATCTTCCCCCTTGGCTATGCATGAAGTGGAAGTACATCATGATGCCGATTATTATTCAAGGCCCGAAGCAACCTGGTAACGACATTGATGTGTACCTAAGACTATTGGTTGAAGATCTGAAAGTGCTGTGGAGGAAAGAGGGTGTCCCCGTGTGGGATGAGGACAAGCAGGAGCAATTTAACCTACGAGCGTTGCTATTCGTTACAATTAACGATTGGCCTGCGCTTAGTAACCTATCCGGACAATCAAACAAGGGGTACAACGCCTGCACTCACTGTTTGGATGAAACTGAAAGTACTTATCTGAAGCATTGCAGGAAGGTTGTGTACATGGGCCATCGTCGATTCCTTGCTGCAAACCACCCTGTACGGAAAAAAGGCAAGCACTTCGAACAAAAGGCAGACCATCGTACTAAGCCTAAACATCGCAACGGGAAAGCAGTGTTCGAAATGGTGAAGGATCTGAAAGTAGTATCTGGAAAGGGGCCTGGTAGCCAACCTATAGAGAGCGAAGATGGTCACGCAGCGATGTGGAAGAAAAACTCTATTTTTTGGGAGGTACCCTATTGGGAGGTCTTGGACATTCGCCACGCAATCGACGTGATGCACCTTACTAAGAACCTTTGCATAAACCTGCTGGGCTTCTTAGGTGTATATGGGAAGTCCAAAGATACACTCGAAGCACGCAATGATCTCAAGCATATGGAACAACGCGAGGGCCTTCATCCGGAACCGAACGATAAAGGAATCCATTACTTAAGTCCGGCGAGCTACACCCTAAGCAAGGAAGAGAAGGAGAGTATGTTTCAATGCCTAGAGAGCATCAAGGTACCGTCCGGATACTCCTCGAATGTAAAGAGAATAATAAGCACGAAGGATAAGAAGTTCACAAAACTAAAGTCTCATGACTGTCACGTGCTTATGACACAGCTGCTTCCTGTTATAATTCGTGGTATCCTTCCTGATAATGTGCGGGCAACAATAACGAAGCTTTGTGCTTTCATGAACGCAATTTCACAGAAAGTCATCGATCTAGAAAGTTTAGCCGCCCTTCAGCATGACGTGGTGCAATGCCTTGTCAGCTTTGAGTTGATCTTTCCACCCTCATTCTTCAATATAATGACGCATCTTCTGTGCCACCTTGTAAAAGAGATCGGTATTCTCGGTCCTATGTACCTACACAACATGTTTCCTTTCGAGAGGTACATGGGCGTTCTAAAGAAGTACGTTCGTAACCGTTCTCGTCCGGAAGCAAGCATCGCGAAGGGGTATGGAACAGAGGAGGTCATTGAGTTCTGCGTAGATTTTATTGAAGACCTCGAGCCAATCGGGGTACCCGAATCAATCCATGAGGGGAGACTACGGGGAAAGGGCACACTTGGAAGGAGAGCAATTATGACTGTAGACAACGATTTATTCCGTAAAACACATTTCACGGTTTTGCAATAATCTTCGTTGGTTGCTCCTTACATCGATGAGCACCTTGCGATTGTTCGCTCAGAAAACAGTGGCAAGTCCGAAGCCTGGATTACACGCCATCATATTGATACTTTCCCCGCTTGGCTGCAAGAACACCTCCTGGGTAACGAGACAACTGACCGACAACTAGCCTTCTTGGCTAGGGGACCCTCCGGCTCGGTAACTACATTCCAAGGTTATGAAATCAATGGATACACTTTTTACACAAGAGCCTAAGACAAAAAGAACACGAACCAGAACAGTGGTGTTCGTATCGATGCCATAGGACACGATGGTCCAACTAGCACATATTACGGTGTCATCGACAACATTTGGGAACTAGAGTATGGACCCCTGAAGGTCCCTCTGTTTCGGTGCCAATGGGTTAGGCTGACTGGTGGAGGCGTAACGATTGATGACAGCGGGATGACAACGGTTGACTTAAATAAGGTAGGATACTCAGATGAACCATTCGTTCTAGCCAATGATGTAATACAAGTTTTTTACGTGAAGGACATGGATAGCAAACCAAAGAAGGGGAAAGGGCCCGATGAGCCAAGACGCCATGTTGTTCTCCCAGGCAAGAGGAAAATCGTTGGAGTCGAGGATAAGACTGACGAAAATTACGATCTGTTTGAGGGGCAACCTCCGTTTGCAGTGATGGTTGACCCGAGCATCATACTATCATAGGAGGACACGCCGTACTCACGCAACGATCATAGCGAAGGAACAATAGTGAGGAGAAAGTACGTGAGGAAGACAGTGACCTAGGTTGTTTGATGGAAGATGTAAATTATTTGTATTGTATTGAAGGTCGAACAATTTGGATCAATATATTATTCTCAACTGCTTAATTTGTAATGTATTACTATTTTTCAACCATATGATATTTATAAATGGTCACTTCCATTGATTTACACTTTGAATACAATTAATTAGGCAATATGTTATTTATAACTGATTATTGGTATTTATTTCCACTTTGAAAACAATTAAGTAGGCCATATCTTAATTATAAATGATAATTTCTATTTATTTACACTTTGAATATAATTAAATTGGCCTTATGTTAATTATAAATGATTATTTCTATTTATTTATACTTTGAGACCATTTACTTAGGCATATCATGTTTATTTCTATTTATTAAAATTTTGAAAACATTTAATTCGGCCATACGTAAATTACGTACGATTTTGGAATTTATTTGGACTTTGAAACCATATAAATCGGCCATGTGCTAATTATATTGGATTTATTGGTATTTATTTCGACTTGTAAGACAATTTAAGAAGGCCATAAATCGGTTTTGTGTACACATCTTTAGTCCTGGCTATTAACAGTATCCGGGACCAATACAAATTTTGGAATAGCGGGAAAACATCTTTTGTCCCGGTTTGTGGCTTCCACTGGGACTAAAGATGTCTTTAGTCCCGGTTAGTAGTAACAACCGGGAGTAAACATTTGTTCTTTACTCCCGGTTGTAACTACCAACCGGGACTAAAGATATCTTTAGTCCCGGTTGAAGCCACGAACCGGGACA